AGTGCCGACACCCCCAGCAGCTCCAGCTCCAGAAACTCCAGCAGCTCCAGCAGCAACAACTCCAGTAGGACCGGCAGCTCCAGTACCGCCAGCAGCTCCAGCAGTACCTCCAGCAGCACCCTCAGCCCCAGCAGCTCTTGTACCGCCAGTACGAGCACCTCCGGGACTAGCAGCAACAGTAGTACTTCCAGCTCTAGCAGCACGGCTCCAGCGCCGGGCAAACCACTCGCGCAGCTCCTGCGGAGAGAGCGGCTCCCGCCTCGACGAAGCACCGCGAGAGGTCACACAAGCAGACCCAGCACCCCCAGGCTTCGCACACCCAGGCTCAGAATCCCCAGGCTCAGCACCCCCAGACTCAGCACCCCTAGGCTCAGCACCCCCAGACTCAGCACCCCCAGGCTCCGCACCCCCAGACCCGGCACCCACAGGCACAGCACCTCGAGCAACACCAGAGTTAACAGCTACCTCGACAGGCTCGACTGCGTCTACCTGGGACACAACTGACGGGGCAGGACCCTGAGGGGGGAGGGGGTCTACCGGGGGAGGACCTGGCGCAAGGAAGAGCGGCGGCGGGGGGAGGGGCGCAGTGCGGTAGGGGAAGAGACGGTAGTAAGGCACCGACTCGTCAAAGGTGACGTCCTGGGAGGACAGAACGTGGCGCGAGGTGGGGTGGTAAAACTGCCACCCAGGCGCGTCAGGGGGGAAGCCAAGGAAGACGCAGGGAACATCACCGGGGGACAGCTTGTCCGCAGACAAGTCGCAGACAAGTCGCGGACAAACGCCCGAGATCCCCAGACCCGAAACGCAGACGCATCGCCAACCTTCCCCGTCCACCGCAAGGTGGGGGAGGTCTCTGGCAAGGAGACCCGGGGCTGAAGGTTGAGCTGATGCGTTGCGTAATGAGCCGCAAACGGCCACAGAAAATGGGGGGCAGCCGCATGGATCATGGACGTACGAGCGACGTCCATGACCATGCCAATGCGGCGCTCAGCAATCCCATTTTGCTGTGGAGAGGCCGCAAGTGTGAAGGTCTGACGGATGCCCTGTACACGACAGAAGGCTCCCAGACGGGCAGAGGAAAACTCCCCGCCTCTGTCAGAGTGCAGACGCAGAACAAGGAAAGTCTGAGCCGAAACTCTCTCTGAGCTGGAGACGAACTGCGCGGATCTAGTCGATCAACACCTCAGTGACGTCACCCTTGCTGCGCCAGGGGAAGACTGTGGTGTAACGCGAGTAGTCGTCAACCACCAACAGGAAGTAACGCTTGTGCCCCTGTCCACGGACGCGGGAGGGGCCCCACACGTCCATGTGAAGAGTCTGCAGCGGAGCCTCTGTCGGAGGAAACTCGGAGGAGTGAGGGGCGGCGCGCTGTCGCCCCTCGACGCAGGGGACGCAGGTAGGGGCAGGCCCCGGAGGTAGGGGAGGGAGAGACCGGGGAAGACCAGAGACAAGGACACGGGAGGCCATGCCTCGGAGACGAGGCAGGGAGGGGTGACCAAGGCGGTGGTGCCAAAGGAGAGTCTGGTGGGACAGGAGACGACACGAGCAGGGAGCAGACTCAGGACCAGACCTGGACGCTGCAGCAAACACCTGACTCGACGCAGCTACCTGACCAGACTCAGCAGTCGGAGGAGACTCAGTAGTAAGTGTGTACAGGCTCGACCCTGGCCGACGGGTGAACGTGGCCAAGTGTCGGCCTGTCCGAGCACACGTGTAGTGGGTCACCCGCTGACTCGTAGGAGTGAACTGGTCAACCCCCCTATCCTGTAGATCAGCTCCACTCACCAAGTTCGTAGAGAACGAGGGGAGGTAGAGACCTGACAGGGTGCTAGAGGGGGCTGCCGGGCACGGTAAGACAGTGGAGAAGCTAGCAAGGACAGGACCCCCAGAGGGGTCCGCCAGGGAGACCGCAACCGGCCGACTAAGCGGCGTAAGAGTGGTGCGGTCTCGAAAGAAGGAGCGGGAAGCACCCGAGTCAAGGGTGAAGGTGTGTAAGGCCTGAGCTGACGTGGTACCTGAGAGAGCAGACTCACCAGCACCTGGGGCAGCAGACGCACTACCACCTAGAGCAGCAGCCTCACCAGCACCTAGAGCAGCAGACTGGATACCGGGGTCAGGCGACACACACAGGTGACAGACTCCCTTGGCACTAGTAGACAATGCATACATTGCAGTGAGAATAGCATCATAGTCATGAGCAAAGATATCTACCCTCTGCCTAAGCATCTCCACCCAGTCGGGGAGCTCAGCGTCGTCGCCAAACTGTGTACGCCAAGTGTCGCTCAGACGCGCGAAGCAGCGGGACTCTGTGTGAACACGCGTCCCGCAAGTCTGAGTAGTTAGCGAGTACTCAGTCCGGACACCCGTGCTAATAACGTACGGGCACGGATGGCCACTACAAGAAACTCCCGGACTACCCACTCTAGGACGACTCCCACTACTGCCACCCCGACAACCCCAACTGGTGTACCACTCACGAAGATGTTGGGGGGTGAGGGACTCACGCGGGCGACTCTGGAGCTGCATCCTGCCACTACGAGCAGCTGCGGAACTACTCACTCCAGGACGACTCCCACTACGGCCAACCCGACAACCCCAACTAGCGTACCACTCACGAAGCTGTTGGGGGGTGAGGGAATCACGCGGGCGACGCTGGAGCTGCATCTGGCCACGCCAGGAGCAGCAGTAGCAGTAGAAATAGCAGGAGTAGTAAGAGCAGCAGTAACACCAGTACAGGTAGGGGAGTGCTCACCAGTGGCGAGAAGGGCAGGCGTACGACGGCGGCAACGGCGATGCGGCTACCACTGTAGAGCGAGAGCTCCGCGGCAGCTGCAGGGGTGGCTCCTCCAGAGGCGGCTGCTGCAGTGGCGGCTGCTCCAGGGGCGGCTGCTGCAGTGGCGGGTGCTCCAGGGGCGGCTGCTGCAGTGGCGGCTGCTCCAGGGGCGGCTCCTGCAGAGGCGGCTGCTCCAGGGGCGGCTGCTGCAGTGGCGACTGCTCCAAGGGCGGCTGCTGTAGTGGTGGCTGCTCCAGGGGCGGCTGCTGCAGCGGCGGCTGCTCCAGGGGCGGTTGCTGCAGTGGCGGCTGCTCCAGGGGCGGCTGCTGCAGTGGCGGCTGCTCCAGGGGCGGCTGCTGCAGTGGCGGCAGCTCCAGGGGCGGCTGCTGCAGTGGCAGCTGCTCCAGGGGCGGCTGCTGCAGTGGCGGCTACTCCACGGGCGGCTGCTGCAGTGGCGGCTGCTTCAGGGGCGGCTGCTGCAGTGGCGGCTGCTCCAGGGGCGGCTGCTGCAATGGCGGCTGCTCCAGGGGCGGCTGCTGCTGCTGGGCGGCTCGGCGGCTCGGCTGCCCGCTAGGGGCGGTGACGGGGCCAGGTAGGGGCGGCGACGGGGCCGCTAGGGGCGGCGACGGGGCCGCGTAGGGAGGGGAGCGGCGACGGGGCCGCTAGGGGCGGCGACGTGGCCGCGTAGGGGCGGCGACGGGGCCGCGTAGGGAGGGGAGCGGCGACGGGGCCGCTAGGAGCGGCGACGAGGCCGCGTAGGGGCGGCGACGAGGCCGCGTAGGGGCGGCAACGGGGCCGCGTAGGGAGGTTAGCGGCGACGGGGCCGCTAGGGGCGGCGACGGGGCCGCTAGGGGCGGCGACGGGGCCGCGTAGGGGCAGCGACGGGGCCACGTAGGGGCGGCGACGGGGCCGCGTAGGGAGGGGAGCGGCTACGGGGCCACTAGGGGCGGCGACGGGGCCGCGTAGGGGCGGCGACGGGGCCGCGTAGGGGCGGCAACGGGGCCGCGTAGGGAGGTTAGCGGCGACGGGGCCGCTAGGGGCGGCGACGGGGCCGCTAGGGGCGGCGACGAGGCCGCGTAGGGGCGGCGACGGGGCCGCGTAGGGGCGGAAACGGGGCCGCGTAGGGAGGTTAGCGGCGACGGGGCCGCTAGGGGCGGCGACGGGGCCGCTAGGGGCGGCGACGGGGCCGCTAGGGGCGGCGACGGGGCCGCGTAGGGAGGGGAGCGGCTACGGGGCCGCTAGGGGCGCCGACGGGGCCGCGTAGGGGCGGCAACGAGGCCGCTAGGGGCGGCTACGGGGCCGCGTAGGGGCGGCAACGGGGCCGCGTAGGTAGGGAGGCGGCAACGGGGCGGCTAGGGGCTGCGACGGGGCCGCGTAGGGGCGGTGACGGGGCCGCTAGGGGCCGCGAGGGGCCTGGAAGGGCGGCTACGGGGCCGCTAGGGGCGGCGACGGGGCCGCTGAGGGTGGCGCGAGGGGCCGTGAGAGGGGCCTCTAAGAGAGGTCGACAGAAGGGCAGCCCACAAGGCGCGCCTCGGGCAGGAGCGACTGTCGCTCCGGTCAGAAAAAAAAAGTTTCAGTGGTGGGCCCAAGGAAGCGTTCCCACTCCTGCTCTATACCATGTGAAGAAATGAGGAATGAATGAACTAGCAAGCAGGTGGGTACAAGTAGGAAAACCTAGAAGTGTTGTACCCCATATTGTCTACCCCACTACAGCCTACACAGACTATAGCATATGAGTTTGACAGTAACGGCACGGAGGTAAGTGGGAGCAGCACAGGGGAAGTGGGGTAGCTGTGCATACGGAAGTGGGAGCAGCGCGGGTGAGAGGAAGGAAATAGCGTATAGGGAAGGGGGAGGGAAGGGAGGGCAACGAGTAGGAAAAGATGGCCGAGGCGGAATGGAGAGTATGGTAGAGAAGGACAGGGAGAGATGGGCTGAGAGTGAAGGTAGGAGACGGGCTGTGCTGTGAGGGACGGAAGGAGATGGGCGGCGGGAAAAGGAGAAGTGAGATGGAGGGAAGGGAGGCGTGGGAGGGGAGAAGAAGGGAAAATTAGGAAGGAAGACGTGTGGCTGAGAGGTTGGGGAGTGGAAAAGCAGGAAGCATGAGTGATCGATGAGAGGAGAGAGTGATGGGTGTGAGTAAGCGATAGGTGTGAGTGGGTGAGAGGGCTAAAGGATTGATGCACTTGACGCGACGAAGGGGTGGAGGAGAGGAGTGGAAGTCCTCTCACACCCGTAGCAGGGGGGAAGGGTGAAAGGGGAAGGAGGGGAAGGGCGGGGATGGCACGGAGGGGAACAGGCGGGGAGGCCAAGGGCAGGGGATTTTGCACAGTGTGCACACACCTGAGCGATCAATGTCGCATGGGTGGCACGGGAGGAGAAGTGAGAGGGGTCGACACTTGAGTAAAATACAACTGTTAGCAATCCCCGACGCCACACATTTCTTCTCGCTGTGCAAACCTCACTTTTTCATCACCAACCAAGATCCCCATTCCCTCCCCCCCCTTCTCCCCTCTCTCCACCTTCCTCCTCACACTCCCCCCACCTGCGACTCTTCCCACGCACCTATCCCCTCTTCCCTGCGCACCTCGTTGAATGCGTCCGCGATCTCGCCGCGAAAGAACCCTCTTTTGTGCTCCATGCCTTCCCCCTCCATCCCCCCCCCCCCCTCCCCCTCCCCCCCCCCCTTCCCCGCCCTTTCCCCCCCCCTCCCCTCTCCCAGCCCTCTCCCAGCCCTCTCTTTCCCCTCCCCCACATCTCCCCTCACCCCCGCCCACCTTTCCCAGCCCATCGCCCGCACCTCGAGGTAGGCGCCGGCAATCTCATAGTAAGAGCACCCGCTTTCATTCTCCCTCGCCGCTCCGCCTCGCGCAGGTCCTCGATCATCAGCGCCAGCCGGATCTGCACGCACCGTTACGCGCGGCAGGCACGCGGAGATTGGTGGGGGAGGTTGGCGCATGGCAGGGTATGGAGGGGAAGGAGGGAGGGAGACGGGAGGGGGGTGATTGAAGCGCGCGCGCGACGAAGACGGGCAATGGACGACCAAGGACGGACGACAACGGGTAACGAGAGCGACGGGAGTAATTGCGGGACGGGAGCTCTTGAGCGATGGGGGTGAGTGTGCGACGGGGGAGTGCGCAGAACGGGCGTGTGCAGAACGAGTGTGTCACACGTGAGTGTGTGAGCGACGGGATCAATGAGGCGTGTGACATAGTAATGGAGACTTGTGGAAAGGAACGGAAAGGCGGACGGTGCAGAATAGGATTGACGCACTGGACGCGAGAAAGGGAAGGGACGGAGGGGACATAGAGGTAAGGGAGAAGCAGAGAGGAGAGGGACGAGAGTAAGAGGGGACGGATGGAGTGCTGTGCGTTAGGAAAGGAATCGCGTGGGCAACGAGAAGGCAAGGCGAGGGCGACGGGGACGAATTGCGAGGGCGACAGGAAGAAATTGAGGGCGACGGGAAGGAATCGCGAGGGCGACGGGAACGAATTGCGAGGGTGAGGGAAAGGAATCGCGAGGGCGACGGGAAGAAATCGAAGGCGACGGGAAGGGTAAGTGGCGAGCGACGGGATGGGAAAGTGTGGGCGACGGGCACAGGAAGAGAGCGCCATCTAAAAGGTGACGGAAGGGGAGGCGAGCGCAAACATTCAGTGCTATGCGCATGTCAGGATTACGTAGGACGGAAGTGAAGGGCGTGAGTAATGATTCAGTTTACCGTAAGACTCAAAGTCGAGTGCCTGGAGTAAGCCTCATAACTTACGGGCTAAAGGCGATTCTGAGGGCTATGGAGCATACTGTCAAACATTATATATGTTGTTGTAGTTGTTTAGGCCACAGTGGGTTAGCCTATAGGGGGTACACATTCCTAGGTTTTCATACTTGTACTCATTTCACTGTTAGTTCATTCATTCTTGTTCAACATGGTATAGAGCAGGTCCTTCCTAGGACCGATTTTTTTTAGGGCCCACCACTACCTACCTACCTACCTACCTGCGCCCTAGGGCGCCTCGGCTTTCACGCCCCTAGAGGCCCCGTCGGCCCCGCGCTCTCGCACCTAGAGACCTAGGTCGGCCCCGCGCTCGCTTTTAGAGGCCCCGAATCGGCCCCGCGCTTACCCCTAGAGGCCCGCGTCGGCCCCGCGCTCGTCCCTTCCGGCCCCGATCGGCCCCGCGCTCGTCCCTCACGGCCCCGATAGGCCCCGCGCTCGCCCTTAGAGGCCCACGTCGGCCCCGCGCTCGTCCCTTACGGCCCCGATCGGCCCCGCGCTCGTCCCTCACGGCCCCGATAGGCCCCGCGCTCGCCCTTAGCACCCACGTCGGCCCCGCGCTCGTCCCTCACGGCCCCACCCGCTCCCCGCGCTCGCCCTTAGCGGCCCCGAACGGCCCCACCCAGACCGAGCAGCCCGAACCGAGCCGACCCGAGCCGCCCAGCCCTAACGAAAACGAGCCACCCAACCCGAGCCGCCAGCCCTAACCGACCCGAGCCGCCCGACACGAGCCGCCCGAACCGAGCCGCGCCGCCCGACTCGAGCCGCGCCGCCCTACCTATACCGAGCCGCGCCGCCCTACCTATACCGAGCCGCGCCGCCCTACCTGTACCGAGCCGCGCCGCCCTACCTACCCTACTGCTCCTACTGCTTTTCCTACTGCTGCTACCATGGCTAGCCCTCCTGTGCTAGCCTTCGATGCTGAGGGCCGCCCAGTGAAGTTCGACACCTGGCTTGATGACCTACACCTCTTTCTACAGCTCACTGCCAAGGAAGACATCTCGCTGTACGATCATGCCTTAGGCCACGCTACTCCTCCTGCTGCTACTGCTGACAGCACTGCCCGCTCACAGTGGCAGACTCGTGACGCCCATGCTCGCTTCGCTATTCGCAACTCTCTGCCGATAGATGAGCGCGAGCACTTTGGGCAGCACAAGACTGCACAGGCACTGTACACTGCTGTCGTTGCCCGCTACTCCTCACCGGCCTCTGCCGCTCTAGGCCGTCTCTCTCTTCCCTACCTGTTCACCGACTTAGCTTCCTTCCACACTGTCGCTGATCTCATTACCCACCTCCGCACTAGTGAGGCTCGCTTCCGCGCCGCTATGCCTGATGAGTTCCTTGCGAAGAACCCACCCCCGCTCTGGCTCACTCTCTACCACCTAGTCACGCGCCTCCCTGACACTCTGCGATCAGTCAGGGACCACTTCCTAGCTCGCTGCCCCACCGAGCTCACCATTTCCCTCCTCGAGAAGGAACTCCTTGCAGCTGAGGCTAGCATAGTCGCTGTAGGTGCCTCTCGCGGTGACCCCCGTACCCCGTTCTTTGAGGGGTGTTCTCCCTCCCCCCTTCTTCCCTCTGTCGCCTTTGCTGCTGCTGTCGACCTCCTTGGTGCTGAGAAGGTCGGTACTGCGTCTGCTTCGAGTGGGCGCCGCAGCGGCAAGGGCAAGGGGGGCAAGGGCGGTGGTGGTGACAGCGGGGGTGGCGGTGGTGGGGGAGGTGGTGGTGGCGGGGGGGGTGGCGCGGGTGGGGGAGGTGGCAGCAGTGGGGGGGGTGGCGGCAGCGGCGGGGGAGGTGGCCGGGGCGGAGGAGGTGGTGGGGGTGGCGGTGGACGAGGCAGCGGCCGGGGTTGGGGTGGTCGAGGAGGTGGTAGCGGCGGTGGTGGTCGTGGAGGCACTGGCGGTGGCCAGGGCCAGCAGCACACTCCGTCGCCCCAGGAGGTCCGTGAGTGGTACTCTCAGCACGGGGGGGGGGGGTGGCCTTAGCTGCACGTACGTCATTCGCACTGGTGACCGCACTGGCCAGCCGTGTGGGGGACCGCACGCCACACAGCGTTGCTTCGCTCGTCTGAACGACGCTTGGCGTGTTCAGTTCCCTCAGGCCACTGAGCTGCCCCGCTGGGTTGATCTCCTGAAGAAGGGGATTGATATTTATGCTTTAGACTTTGATGCTATTCTCACTGCCATGTATGTGATGTCTACTAGTGGAGAGGGTGCTGAGTACCTGAGTGTCCCGCCCGACCCGGGCATTAGGACTAGTGCGTCTGCCGCCCCAGGTACTCGCGTGTCCGCTACCCCAGGTGTTGGTGAGGCTGCTGCTCTAGGTGCGTGTACGTCTGCCCCCCCTAGTACTGTGTCGACTGCAGCACTGCACACCTTCATACTGGATTCAGGTGCCTCTCGCTGTTTCTTTCGTGACCGCACTGCCCTTGAGCCCCTTGCTCGACCAGTTGCTGTCTCCCTCGCTGACCCCTCTGGGGGTCCGGTCCTTGCGACCTCCTCCACTGTCCTTCCCTGTCCTGCGGTCCCGTCGGGCACACTGTCAGATCTCCACCTCCCCTCATTCTCTACGAACTTGGTGGCAGGTTGTGCACTACAGGACGCGGGTGTTCACCAGTTCACCCCTGCCTACGAGCGTGTCACACACTGCACGTGTGCCCGTACAGGCCGCCACTTGGCTACCTTCACCCGGCAGCCGGGGTCGGACCTGTACACACTGACTACTGCCCCCCCTCAGGTCGCTGCGTCTGCGTCTGCGTTAGCGTCAGGTGAGCTGTCCGCCCCCTGCTCTCGTCGCTCTCTAGCGCACGAGACTGTCCTCTGGCACCACCGACGGGGCCACCCGTCTGTGCAGCGCCTTCGTGCCATGCACTCCCGGTACCTTGTCTCTGGTCTTCCCAGGGTCCTCCCTCCCCTCCCGCCCTCGCCTGCTCCTCCCTGTCTTCCCTGTGTCGAGGGGCGGCAGCGCGCCGCTCCTCACTCCTCCTCGTTTCCCCCGACGACTGCTCCTTTGCAGACGCTCCACATGGACGTGTGGGGCCCAGCCCGCGTCCGTGGTCAGGGTCAGGAGAGGTACTTCCTGGTCGTTGTTGACGACTACTCGCGCTACACCATGGTCTTCCCCTTGCGCGCCAAGGGTTAGGTCCCTGATGTTTTGATCCCTTGGATCCGCAGGGCTCGTCTCCAGCTCAGCGAGCGTTTCCGCTCGGACTTTCCTGTCCTGCGCTTGCACTCTGACAGAGGTGGTGAGTTCTCCTCCGACCTCTTGGCAGCCTACTGTGCTGAGCACGGCATTGAGCAGTCGTTCACGCTTCCGGCCTCTCCACAGTAGAATGGGGTTGCGGAGCGCCGCATTGGCCTGGTCATGGAGGTCGCTCGTACCTCCTTGATCCATGCGGCTGCCCCCCATTTTCTGTGGCCGTTTGCGGTCCGGTACGCTGCGCATCTGCTCAACCTCTGGCCCCGTGTCTCCTTGCCGAAGACCTCGCCCACACTGCTGTGGACGGGGGAGGTTGGCGATGCGTCGCGTTTCCGGGTCTGGGGATCTCGAGCTTTTGTCCGAGATTCGTCTGCGGACAAGCTCTCCTCTCGTGCTGTTCCCTGCGTCTTCCTCGGCTTTGTTCCGGACGCACCTGGTTGGCAGTTTTACCACGCCACCTCGCGCCGGGTCTTGCCCTCTCAGGACGTCACTTTTGACGAGTCTGTCCCCTACTACCGCCTCTTCCCCTACCGCACTTCCTTGCTCCCTCCCCCGCCTCTCTTCCTCGCGCCAGGTGCTGCTGTCGTAGACCCCCTCCCCCCTCAGGGTGCCGCTCCCTCAGGTGTGTCTCAGGTAGACCCGGTCGAGCCTGTTGGGGGTGCTGACTCTGGGGGTGCTGAGCCTGGGGGTGCGGACACTGGGGGTGCTGAGCCTGGGGGTGCGGACTCTGGGGGTGCTGAGCCTGGGGGTGCTGACTCTGGGGGTGCTGAGCCTGGGGGTGCGGACACTGGGGGTGTTGAGCCTGGGGGTGCTGTGCCTGGGGGTGCTGAGCCTGGGGGTACGGTGACTGGGGGTGCTGAGCCTGGCGGTACTGCGCCAGGGGGTCCTCCACCTGGCCGAGACCTCTCCTCGGAGCAGTTGCGTGAGTGGTACTTACAGTACTGCAGTCGACTCTCGTCCTGCTCGGGGTGCTGAGCCTGGGGGTGCGGAGACTGGGGGTGCTGAGCTTGGGGGTGCTGACTCTGGGGGTGCTGAGCCTGGGGGTGCGGAGACTGGGGGTGCTGAGCTTGGGGGTGCTGACTCTGGGGGTGCTGAGCCTGGGGGTGTGGAGACTGGGGGTGCTGAGCCTGGGGGTGCGGACACTGGGGGTACTGAGCCTGGGGGTGCTGAGCCTGTGGGTGCGGTGACTGGGAGTGCTGAGCCTGGTGGTACTTACAGTACTGCAGCCTCCGGAGTGTTACCTCTGGGACCAGTCGCACTACAGGGACTGGGGCTGGTACTTCTCCTCCTATTCGGGAGCTCCCCTCTCGTGAGCGGATCCGTGAGTGGTACGCGCGCTGTTGCACACTTCGGAGTGGTGCGCCTCGTCTCACGGACCCGGCTGCCCCTGGTGCTACGGACCCGGGAGTTGGAGCTGCTGCTGGTGCTGCGGACCCTGGCGTTGGAGCTGCTGCTGGTGCTGCGGACCCGAGGGTTGGAGGTGCTGCTGGTGCTGAGGACCCGGGCGTTGGGGCTGCGGCTGGTGCTGCGGACCCTGGCGTTGGAGCTGCGGCTGGTGCTGTGGACCCTAGTGTCGGAGTCCCTGCTGGTGCTGAGGACCCGGGCGTTGGAGCTGCGGCAGGTGCTGTGGACCCTGGTGTTGGAGCC